ACGTCATGTTGACAATTTTGCTGCGATCAGTGATTTGTTTATAAACTGTTGTCTGGGATTTACATGTATCTAGCAACTATTTTTAATGCATTGATAAGTTTTGATGTTGTTTATTATGCTAATACAGTTTAAAATTGCTAAGTATTTGAATTCCTAGTACTATGAGGAATACAAAATGAACCTATTTTTGTGTGACGTCACAGTAAACATTTCCCATATAAATAATAAATTAGGCCCCTGCCCCTTTTTTCAAGCCTTAACAATGCTGCGTACATGTACCTGTAAACTGTATATAATTCTTGTTTTAAACTTTATCAAAAACAGGAAAATATGCATATTCTATAAATAAGGATTACCTGTGGTAACCTTGGGATTGAATACATAGGTGTCATTATAGCCTATAAAAAATACCTGTGGTAACCTTAGGATCGAATACATACTGTGGAATCACAAATTTTGTGGGTGTTTAATTTTTGTTGTTTCCGATGTGTGAAGAGACCCACGAATTCATGTCCACCATGAAATGTAAAATGTGACATACATTACTACTCAACAATTCTACATCCACGAAATCAAATCCTCATGAACCAGGAGTTTTTCTTCAAACCACGAAAATTTGGCACCACGAAAATGAGTGATTTTACAGTAGGTGTCATTGTCATTATATAAAGAATACCTGTAGTAACCTTGGGATCAAATACATAGGTGTCATTGTTATTATACAGGGTATAAGGAATACCTGTGGTAACCTTGGGATCAAATACATAGGTGTCATTGTCATACACCCTTCCCTCCCTATACTCCTCTACACACATGTTCAGGTATTTTGTTCTGTTGGAAAATCTAAGTGATCCAAGGGCCAGTTCCTCTGTATGGTTGAACTGTGAATTAGAACAGGTATATTAGACATGATTAGATTTAAACTTTGGAGGATCATGACTGTTTGGATATTACATTGTTTAATACATAATTTACAATCTGATAAAATCTTTGAAAATGGTTCCTTTATAAAGTTTGCTAATTGTTTAAACAAAAATTTATTCTTGAAATATCAAAGTATTACCTGTTTCATAGCAAAATTGATATGATCTATAAGGTCGTTTGCACTGTAGATTGCATATCGTCCTGTGGCTGGGGGGTAAGGCATTGTCTCAAAGCTGGGATCCCATTTAAGTAGGTACATGTGTTTCATGGCAATATTGTTCAATTCCACATATTCAACAAATAAGGCTCTCTCATTCCCAAACATAATCAGCTGTAAGATAACATTTTCTTGAAAAAAAATCCTGTTATGATATGTGTTGTAATTTTTCATCATCATATTCAAGAAATATGTTTCTCAAAAAAAAAAAAATAAAGAAATAAAAAAATAAAAAAATCAATAGCAAGCAGGTGGAAAAGTTTCAATTTAAATGCATGTAGATGTTGCATGAGATTATTGTTTTATTCAGTAGAGTAAACTAGTTTTAATTTTTTAGCATGTCTAACTTCTCAATAGTCACAAATTCTACATTGACAAAATTTGCTGAATTTCACCTGCTTTGATAAAAAAAAATCTCACCTGAGCTGTTACAAGAAAAACCTTAAAAATCTGCAGAACAAGTTTCCAGGGGCACTTCCTTTTAGCTTTGAATTTTTCATGAGGCCCCATGAAATGGAATTTTAGCCTCCTTCTCAAGCGATCCTCCATATATGGAGTATAAAATGATGCCACTCTCTTCAAAGTCTTCTTTTGTGTAGGGCCTTCTGTTGTCTGTCCAGCAGTATTGTCAATGTCATTTGGGAGAGTATTGGTGCTTGCCATGTGAGTTAATTCTAAATTATAGTGTAATCAACAAAATTACATGCTCTGATCTTTGCAGCTGTAGAGAAAAAAAAATTGTCGATACATATAATTGTGAAATAAAATTGTGATTACTGATTGTACTCTTAGCGAGTACAATAAATTCAACAAAGAAAGATTTGTTTTTATCATGTCAGATATTGTGAAACTTGATTTTGTTCAAACGTTATGTTTAACGTGTAAATATTCAACTGTTACCGTTTATTCTTCCCGTTGACCGAGGTAAATTAATGGTTTGTAAATCAGGACGTGATTGATGTCCCTTTACGCGACAAGACACCTTGGAATTATCTTCCTTAGATTCTAATTCCTTGTTGTTGTCTGCCATTCAATCATTTTCATGGTCATCGAAATGAAAGTCAGCTGACATTGCCATAAGCAGTCTTCAATAATGTCGTAAAATCAAGAGAAAAAAAACCCAAGAATCCTGAAAATTGTATGATATATACAAAATATGGAAGTAAACTTAATCATGTTAATAGCTTTTTTTTAATGCAAGGTAGGCCTAATGAATAGAAGTGTATTTGTCGTAAATATTTAGAGCGTTCGTAAAATATTTCGTAAAGGCACTGATTTATTATCATGATCATTCACTGAAGTAGTTTCATAATGTGTTTAAACACATTTTACATAAGTATATTAAAAACGTAAATTTAATGTTCTTAATCCTCAAACAAAAATTAAGACTTGAGAAAGTCTAATTTCGACCGAGCTGACGATCGATCTAACAATAATCTTTGAAATCTCTACTTTTGCTTTGTCAGAGCAGGCAGAATTTTACCCAACCTACTTAAAAATTGAATTTTAAAAGATGTCAGAACCTGATGAATTAAGTAAGCAGTTAATATATACAATTTTAAAATTCTCCAATAAAGGTTTTGTTAAAATCTACGGAGATTAGGTAGAATATCTCTCACAGAATATAGTTGTTTGAGATCATACAATTTGTCCATGTAAAATTTGTTACAGTGATTCATTTTGAAAACAGTTATCACTGGTCAAATGGACCAATGGTGACAATGTGTCTAATATTCCTAAATAAGTGAGTCCAGATATATAGATATATATCCATGTCCATCTGACAGAGGAAATTCTTATGAGTTATGTAATGGTATTACACAAAGGTGTCATTGTAGTGATATAGTTTTATGTGAGTTGACCATAAAGTTAAAGACTAAAATTTAAAATCACAACACTACTGTTCTTTGGTTAATTGTAGCACGAAGTGTTCTGTATTTTCAATTTGCTTTTGATCTTTTTGTGACCATTAGGGCAAGCACAGGTACCTATTTAATTTTAATTTAGATCCATTTCTTCAAACCACACCTGACATGGTATGCCAATACTTTGCTGTCAGATTTGATTTGATTTCTATCATTACTGAGACTCAATTCAGATAGCAGCAATCTGCATAAGTACCAAGTAGTTTATTTTAACTTTAAGATAAGAATTATTTCCTAGCCTATGAAAAAGAATGTAAAATATTTTAGAAGTCCCAAAGCATGAAAGAGAAGTGCTACCATTTGTACACTTGTGTACAAGGCAGCTTTACTGGGTATACTATGTGTAATTAAAGACTGCTATAAGATATATGTAAATCAATTTTTAGGTCTTGTAGAGAGAGTTTTTCTGAGAATAGGATCCTCTGAGTCTGATGAACAACTAGAGAGTTGCCTGGATCGATTTCTCCCTGCTGTCTTACTCAAACTCAATAGCAAGGATGAGGCTGTACGGAAAAAGGTATATAAATCTGATACATTACGGCATGTCATTATGTCAGAGATTTCGTCATATGTTGATGATAAGAAATTTTTTTAGGATAGGATCAGTGATAGAAGTTGGTATCTTCTATTGTGTTTCAGGTGATGGAGTTACTGGTCCATGTCAATAAGAGGTTAAAGAGTCGTCCTAAGGTTCTCCTGCCAGTGGAGCAGCTGATTAATCAATACAGGGATCCACAGGCCACATCTATCATCACAGTAAGGAATACATACATATATATATACTGTAAATTTTTGCTGAATTTAACTGTAAAATATTTCTTTTATGGACTTTGGGGTTAGATGGTATATACAGTTCAATAGATAAACATTTCTCTTCTTCTCAGTCTTTGATAAACACAATCATATAAGCTGATCTGTTAAGTTGTTTTGTTTACCCATTTTTACAGAACTTTTCCATAATCTACATAAGAATGGGATATCCCAGACTGGCTCCTGATAAACAGGCAGAGTTAGTTCCCTTACTTCTGAAATGTCTTGAAGGCAAACCCAATTCACAGCAGGACAGGTAATACTCATCTTGTTTGTAATTCTTGGTTGACCACATATAAGTTATTAATATAAGCCATTTTTTTTTTTATTATGTCTATTTCTGATCCTTTCCTGTGCTTTATTTAGTATTTATTTAATATCTATTTCCTTCTTATTTTATTGTATTTAGCATCCTCCTTCTGGTGACTCCAGCCTTGAGTTATGTTACCATGCCAACGGAACCTGAGAAGAGGAAGAATATGTTTGTTGTTGAGGAGAAAACTCAGACTGACATTCTGAGTTATTTCATGGACGTTCTGCTGCTTCCATACAAGTCAGTTTAAACCAAAGATTTTCCCAGATTTTTTTTTGAAGACTTAAATTCTGAGGCCAGAATTTTACTTCTAAAAAGACCTTTTATACAAATCATCTAAAAAGTGTTAATTCAGTGATATTTTTTTTTTTTGCTGTTTGAGTGATCTAGCTGCCCTTACAACTAGAATAAAATAAATTGAAATTGACACTCCTTTTTCAGTCAACTCAATTATTTTTAAAATTTTCTTTCACTAAAGTAATTAGCTGAACACTATTTGCATGTAATTTCCCCATCTTAATGATCAGCAACATCAGTACTCTGTTGTCTTGAACTTTTTTCCTCAGAGTAAAATGCTGATATCCTTTGCTGAGAAACAAATAGACAAACCTAGTGTTTCTGACTTAGCATGATATCATTTTTGTAATGTCTCCCCAGAATTTTCATAAGTGTATAGAGGGTTGTCCTTAAGAGTTGGTTTTTTATTATAGAATCATTGTTGAGTACTGGTATTTATATTAAGAAAAATTACAGTACCTACTTACTTATACATGTATATATACTGCCATTTCATTCAATTTCTATTTAAGTTTCTTTACTTCAATAGTGTTCAGGGCATGTTGAGTCAAATTTCACGACCAGCAAGTGCTCCAGCTGGAAGCACCCCTAAACCTACCGTACCCCCGGCAATGAGTGAGTACTCTCTGCGACGAGTAACAGGAGACAACCCAATGTCAGCGGAAGCCCTGGAGAAGTCTAAGCTGGGGATCATTAAGTTCCTGGGGGCGGAGCTATTTCCAGAGAATGTCGTCATCTGTCACTACATCATTGCTTCTTCTGACACACGTCACAGGTAATATACAGCATTCTTCTTGTTCCCAGTGCCTCCTTTCTTATAATTTGTGTTCAGTTTTGATTGTCAATGAAAGCATTGTTTTGTTGAGCTTATGTTTGATAATGAAATAGAAAAAATGAGCTAAGTTTTAAGTGATTTCTAATTTTTCAATGCTTACTCTTTACAATAATCTTGTTTCAACGCTGTTGTTTATTCCATTTGCAGTGTTGCCACGGCAGCAGATTTTGAGCTAAAGAAGATTCAGGGGTGAGATTTTATGATGCATATTAAATATTGTAAACATGTGACTGCACAAACATAGTGACTAATCATGAATAAAGATGTCACAAATACTTCAATAGTATATGTAATTGGTTTACAGTATTGCACTGATAAAATGAATTATGATTACATGCCTGGTTTAATGATTTTGTAGAACAGTAGACTGGAATGATTTGGAGATCATGAAACAATTGTTTGGTCTTTTCCAAGGAACCATGGATGTCAAAGGGCAGGTAAGATTCTCTGTAGAATTAAGATACTGTATACAGGGAAATTTTCGCCCCCATTTTATTTTCGCTCCTTTCGCCCTTGTCACAAGTGGGCGAATTTAAAACGTTTTAAATTCGCCCACTTTTTATACTTTTTATACCAGATTTTATACTGTGTTCTTTAAAAATTTAAAGAACACAGTATAAAATCTTAAACAGAAGTTGAAATGGGCGAATTTAAAACGGGGGAAATTTGTAAGCAGGTATAAAAGGGCGAAAGTAACACGGAGCAAAAATAACCCTCTATACAGTAACCTATGATTAAATCAAATACTTTATTTCCAGATAAAGATAAGGATAATGCTTGTTAACAGTAATTTGTGATTATAGTTAATCTAAAAAAATCATTTTGAATGGAAGATTATGTTGCAAGTTCAAAATTGAATGAAATAGAAAAATATGATTGAGGAAATCTTGGTAAACTTGATTTAGGAATTCTTTAATTGATGAAATATATGTATTGTAATTGGGTTGCTCAAGCTTTTGGTGTCAGAGGTATGAGTTAACTGTTTATTTACAGCCTCCAACTAAACCAGAAATGAAGAGGGCTCCAGCATGCACCAGAATCCGACTTAAGATTTTTCCCTTCTTCCTAAAGTCACGGGAGGCTGCCGGCATGTTTCCTTCATGTGTTCAGGTAACATCTAGAAAGTTATATCTTAAGCTCTTTATATCTAAAGTATTGTGTTTAGAAATAATTGTTACATTGTCAGTATTGGGCAGTATTAACACATACTATTTTGATTTTTTAGGTTATTTTTGACTGCCTTTATGGACAGAATACGAATGCAAAACTGAAGAACCTAGCAGTACAGTTTGTCCATCATGTTTGCTTTAAGTATGTATTTCAGCAATTAGATAAATACAAGACTTTGTCAAAAATTATATTAAACTTGTAATACACATATTTTTCCACTCCTATCTTGTACAGTATATATAGAAAAGTAATGTGGAACTATCATCTCTGCCTTCGTCTTATGTACACTGCATGGTATCTATATGATTATGGGTAATGCCATTTTTTCAGCTGCCCAGATGCTAAATTTCAGCCAATCAGCTCTGTCCTTTTGTCTGGGATGATGAAACTGATCACAGAAACTAAGGATGACTCCAGACTCCGCAGCCTGACCTACGTCGCTGTCGGTAAAATTGTAAGACGATCTCCACTGCTGGTGAAGAAGGATATAGGACTGGCTCAGAAATTCTTTGATGCCATCGCTCAGGTGAGATGTATGCTAGTATTACAAACAAACCTGAAGCACAGTGTAGAACAAGTCAGATGCCTTGAAATAACATGTCTTCATCTAAACATATGACTTTGAATTCATTATATTTTGGAACTGTGTAGATACAGCTGAAAGAATTTTTGTTTATAAAGAAATTCTTTCTGAACACACTCATTCAAAAAAGTTATTGATTAA